GAATGCGGTTCTGACGTCACATAAGGCCGAAAAAGACTCCGTGCCATCGGTGTGAAACTTATAGTTTTTATTATTAATACTCAACACTTCAGTTTGTTCATCATGTACAAAGAGAAAGAATAGTCTTATTTCAGCACTTATAATTGCAGATATCAGCATTATCCTTATTAGAAGTACCTTAATGATGTTTCCGTCGGACTTTATTTTTTGCAGTTTTATCATGACATGATTAAGTTCGTTATTGAGATTACTTTGTCGTTTTCATACAAAAAAAAGTGAAGGTAAATAGTTTTCCCCGATACTCAGTATTTACACAACCTGTACAATTATTTGTTTTTGTGTGTTTTTTTCATTTTTTTTTTCTGCTTGTATGGTGTAAAAATTTTGGTATTATTTCAAAGAAAAGGGCCACAAAAAGAGAAAAGAATGGGCAAGAATAATACTCTTTCTATTATGTATACAAATTATACTATTCATATGGTACATTTCTGTCACCCACAGTTAATTGAATCGGATCACGTGGTTTCAGTGTTAGTATAAACCTGTCAAACTCTGCGAAATACATTTGGTAGCAACCCCTTATGCAAGTTTTTGCCCCGGATGGAGCAATCAATCAATCAATTTCGGAGCGATGAGGATGCAAAACAGGAATATTAACAAACAGAGCTGTACATGATTTAATAGAAAACTTTTGTGTGCATCAATATGAAGCAGTATCAATAAGCAATATGGACACATACACACACGCGCACACACACAACGAAAAGTCAGGAAGTAAAATGTCAGAAAGATATTCATTTTCTGTCTCCTTTTGAATTTGATTGCAAATAGTCAGAAAAACTGGGGACTGCTTAATGACTTTGCAGGGGGGAAAGCATAGTCATATCACAGTTTAATTTCTCCTGTTCGCAGGGGATGAAGTGACTTACTCACTGAAAAAAAGTTGTTTAAAGTCATTTTAAGACTGCTGGAAATAAGGAAGTGAAGCTTGCCAAACACACTTTCTTACGTTTCTGCAGCTGACTGTGCCACAACGTGAATTTTGGTCCCACATGTCGGAATTACCAACAGAAAAAACACACGTCAGCTGAGGTGGTATCTACACCACCCGCGTTTAAGCCCACTTACTGTTCTGGCCTTCCCACTAGAAAAGCCAAAACATCGTTTTCTGCCTCGCTTGAATGACTATTTTCCAGAGGGCACGGGGTTGGGACCAATTTAACCTTTGGGGGAAACTGAAGAGTCCCGGCAAGCTTAGCTTGTTCTGCCCAACTGCTGGACCTGAACGTGTTTTCAGAGCTAGCTGGAGAAGGATCTGACCTGTCCAGCACACCTCCACTTTACAATCCACTGTTGTCCTAACATTCCAATGCCCGACATATATATAGAGAAGAAAGAATGATCACAGCAAATGAGGTCAATTGGCTGCTTGGATTATTTGAAAAATATGGAAACCCAACAGAGTCCGCGCATACATGGATGCATTTTTCACTTTCCAATCAGCTGTGGAGAAAAACAGAGTGGAAGGAGGTGGATTTTCTTCTCGGAGCGGAATGGAAGATTACAGAGGGAAATCATTTCCAAGCCGACGTGGACGGAACTAAATAACAAATTCTATTATTCCCCATAGTCCCCCATCTCTTTTGGAGAGACATGCCATTCATGAGGGGGGTCAGAATGAATGAGAACATATTAGGTTTTTCCAAGCTTTCAAAAGGACACGACTTGGTCATGCATTGTGTGAGCATAAGCAAAGCAACGGCGTTTGACGGGAGACATGACGGCACAGATGTCTCACCTTTCGATAAGGGGTTGCACAAATGTGTTTCAGCCTCAGTTGCTGACACTAAAAGCGCTCGGCTCCACCACAAAACTGAGCTGAAATCCTCAGAAACATCAACGACAGCAACACTTGGAAATGTTTATTGTGCACGTGCGTGCACACATTTGATATAAATGTATATGTATATATATTCATATATATATATATTTCCCTTTACCACAGTGATGTCTAGCCCAAACAAAGAGAGGAAACAGGATAGGCCGGGCTGACGATGGCTCTAAATTCTGTGTGCAATCACCTTTGAAGCCCAGGTCAAAAATGGACAACAAAAACACAAATGTCTCCAAAGTTGTTTTTGATTTTTTTTTTTTTTCGTTTTTTTTGTAACAAGGGTTGCTGCTTAAAAATGAAGGATCACAATATACTGCCTCTATATGCAAATATCATCTCTGTATACATGTAATATTGTATTACATAAATGTGTAGATAATTGAATTGATCTCAAAAAGCATGAAGAGTAGCTTACCTTAAAAAGAGAGATTCTAACACAATTCAAGGGAAACTTAACAAAGACTCCTAAAACTAAACTTTCCCCTTTTTAAGTCACCAAACGTCTACACCTACAGTAAAGTATCCTCATTTTCCAACACTTTAGTGAAAATAAGAAAAGAAAGCATAAGTCTTAACGTAATCAGTATACTGATCGGCAAACTAGTAGAATCAAGTAAACATGAGATTTAAAGAAAGAAAAGTTCAATTATATCACTTATGATTAGCAATATTTGTATCTTAACTATGCTTTGCATATTTTTGTTCACAAGTTTTTTCAGATTTTTACGAGTTTTTATTGTCGTTTTCTTTATTTCTTAAACGGTTGTAAAACATAGTTAAAGTTACATCCTGTCTGTCTGTTTGCTGTACAAAGTGAAAAGGTTTTTTGTTTAGTTAAATATACTATTTACAAGCAACAGATTGGACATAGTGATGCTGACACAGATTGAAACTCACACCAAAGTCTTCGGATCTTTGCCTTTAGCCTCCGTCTCCATCCCGTAACGTCCTGCTGATAATGGTTCACCTGAACTTTCAAAAATGTGTGCGTATAAAAATTCCAGAGATCCAAATCTATTTATTAAGAGAGCCATATGTGTGTGTGTGTATGTTTGTCTGTGTGTGTGGGGCAGGGGGGGAATCTGATTTAAGGCTAACTCCATCGGTCTCCATTTGACAGCGTTCTCTATGGAGCGAAGGAAGAGACGGGGTTGAAATTATGAATCGTTAGCGAAGTTAGCGGGGGTATTTTTTAAACGTGGATATATCGGTGGTGTAAGATTGTGGTCAGCGGTGACAGAGATCGTATTCCAAACACATTCCAGGCGGCGCCCTCTCCTCCTCCGGCCCGCGCTCGTGCAGCCCTTGAACTTTTGACACCATCTTGATCAAAGATCAAGCCTTCAGCTATCTAATAGAGGCCTCTCTATTCCGAACGTGCTGAGTCATCATCGGACAGCTTAGGGGGAGGGTGGATGAGGGGAGGATAAGGCATGTCTACTGAGCGCCCGAGCCTACACTGAGTAAAAAGTCCTGTGCAATAAATGAGGCCTCCTCAGCTAAAAAAAACACCATCTACATCGGTCCGAGTAAAAAGCGATGCTTCCTCTGCCCAGCTCCAGCTATCGTCCGGCGTTGCTGCTTCTCCGACATAAGATATCAGTCGTGAGCAACTTCCAAAACAAAGCTTTCTCTGGGAGCCTCTCCGACTGCCTCTGGGACTCAGGAGTAATGCCTTCGACAAGGTACTAGTGAGAGGCCGAAAAAGTAAGTGCCCGGTGAGTGTTGTTATGTAACCTGAATAAAAGAAGTGGCCTAAAAAGGCTGCCATGTTGCAAGCTGAGATACATCAGTCCATCAGTAACAGTGAAACATCCTGAATACAATTGGTTCATAAAACACTCCTCACATCTGACATATGAAATATCTTTAAGAAGGTAGAAAAGATCTTAAACGGCATCCTGGATTTAGATCATCAGCCTGCTGCCAATCGTTTTACTGTGTTTTTTTGGCTCGTGCGTGGGCGAGAACACCGGGCGGCCTGGAAAGCGCGTCCCGCTCCGTCCTGGCGCTGGCCGCTCGTGGACTGGAGGACATTTCCGCCGGAGACCGTTAAGGCACGTCCTTCCTCTCAGCAGCTTCAGCTTCAGACGAGAAAACGTTGTTTTTCACAGTAACACAAGTTCAGACCGACAAAAAAAAAAAAATTCAATTTAAATATGTGCGCGCTGGATTAGCAATGTCTTGAAACACCACATCTGGATCTCCCAGATCCAAGTGCGTGTTTGAGATCTTGTTTTTTTTTTTTTTTGTCCCGGGGGGAGCAAATAAACAAATGAGCATGGGGTCAAATTTTCTACAGAAAACAGAAAAGAAGAATCAAACACTCTTTTTTTTTTTCCGTTTCCTTGGCGGGAACCAGGAACAATCCTCCTGCTGCCAACAGCTGCCGGAGGAACGCAAACCACAGACGCATAGAGAACCATGAGATATACAAAACAGAGAAACTTGACAAGAGGAGTTACCACGATCAGCTTGAACATCTTTGTTATTCACAACGTTATTGTTGTTCTTATACCCTGTTTTTCTATAAGAATATCTTATTATCATTCGTGATTGTATATCTAAAAAAAAAACAAAAACAAAGGAAGTAAAGAAAAAGAAAGCTCGCTAGGCTTCAGGGGTAAGGAGGAGGAGCAGTGTGGGGGCGAGTGCAGGGCGGGGGGGATGTACGGGCTCTGGAGGATGTGACGGTGTCTGCTTTCTGCTGTGACACGCCGGCAGATGGGCCGCCCGCTTTTGCTCGCCGTTTTCCTCGCCAGCCCTCAGCGGGAGCCCTCAGACCGGGCTCGGGGTCCCCGTGAGGGGGGAACGTTCTGCGACTGTTTGGGGAATTGAAAGTAAAATGGCTTCCCGAAACCTCCTCGGCGAGTCCTGATTATTTACCAATAGTTACATTAATAAAACGAAAACAAAAGCGACCGACCATTTTACGCTTCAGCCACCCGCCCCGCAGACATTCCCCCGTCTGTTCGCCTTTCCCGCTTTCCCATTGCTGTGTCAGCACCGGCTTGAGCTGCGTTGTGTCTACAGTTTGTTTAAAAAATCCCCCCCGATTTCCCAGCACTCGGCGCCTCTATTGCTCTCCCCCTCCTCCCCCTTGGATTCAAACGTCGGACTCGATGCTCGAGAGTTTTTCGTACACATGGCCATTGCTTCCGTTGAAAGGGCGCGGGGGGCCGACCCCCAGCAGGGAACCGTGGTGGTTCACTCCACCCAGACTGAGCTCTTTAGGGAACCGGGGGGCCACGTTGGACACCACCCCGGCGGTGGCGGACGCCGGCAGGTACGACGTGGTGCTCATCTGGCTCCTGAAGTCACTTCGGCTGTTTTTGGCAACTTGTTGCTGCTGCTGTTGCTGTTGCTTTGTCATGTAATACTGTTTGGCTCCGTGCATCAGACACTGGTCGTCGCCGAAGGTAGGTATAAAGGGGTTTTGGTTCACCCGGTCGGGGTAAAGCGATTTGGATAACGAGAACGCTCCTCCGCCTCCCCCCTCCATCAGCGACCTGTCCCTGTCCCGCATGTCTCTCTCCCCGATGGAGCGGCGGTGCAGGCCCTCGCCCCCCCGGAAGAGGCCGAAAGGCGAGCCGGGGCGTTTCCGGCTCTCCCCCCCGTAGAACAACGGGTCTCTGTCTCTCTCCCTCTCCCTCTCTGAGCCCCCGTGACGTTCGAATATGTGTGCGAAGGGGCTGTTACCTTCCATGTAGCGTTCTTTCTCTTTCAAGCTGACGCTTCTGGGCGGGGGCAGCATTCCGCCCATCCCCGCTCCGCCCATCCCTCCGCCGCCCCCCAACCCTCCCATCAGACTCCCCATCCCGCCCGTTTCTTCTTTCTGGAGGTCGACAAACGCGTCGTACGAGTGCTGCCTCCTCAGCTGCTTGCCGAACCCCCCGCTCTTCCTCCTCTGCCCGGCCTGAGATTGGGACTGCGAGCTCACGCCCATGCCGCCCACTCCGCCCCCACCTTTCCCTCCCCCCATCTGTTCCAAGAGGTGGTTGTTGTCCTCGCTGATGTCGTAGAGGTTTCCTGTCTTTTTACAACCCTCGCAGCGCATGCAGGTGGCCGAGCTGGGCCGGCTGTTGCCCCCGCCCGCCGAGGACCCACAGCCCATACCACCGCCGTACCCGCCGCCGCCTCCGTGGATGGACATCTGCTTGCCCCCTCCGCCCCCGCTGGCCCGACAGTTCCTGCACTCCCACTCTCCGCCCGCCAGCCCGGATCCTCCCCCACCCTTGGCGTCGGATTTTTTGGGTTTGCTCTTAAGAAAGTCGTCCACCGGGACCAAGGAGGTGCAGGTGGCCACGCCTCCGTCTCGGCTGCCCGGGCCCTCCGTCAGGTCCACGTGCTCCCACTGAGGGACGCCCTCTTTGGGCCGAAACTGGTCCAAGTAAAAGTCCCTAACGCTCTCCTTTTCTCTGAAAAGATACGAGTTTCCGTTGCTGTTTCCTCCCCCGCCGCCCCTCTTGCGCTCGGAGAGCAGAGGCGGTGGGGGGGAGGAGCGGTGGCCGTGGTAGTGGTGGTGGCTGATGTGGTAGGGTTTCCTCCGGTAGCCCAGCTCAATCTCGTCCAGCTCCCGTCTGGACTTCGCAGAGGCCGGCCTCTTTTTCAAGCTGTCGCGGTACTGCTTGCGCTTCTTGGCGTTCCCCTCCAGGTTCCCGTAGGTCACCGTGTGCGTGGAGATGTCGGAGACGTCCGAGCGTATGTTCCCGTCCTCCTCTCCTCTGCCTCCGCAGTAGCTGGGTCCGGGGATGTAGGTGGAACTCGAGGCGCCGCCTTTGAAGGAGAACTTCCCGTAGAGATCGGGCAGACCTCCCTTGAAGCCTTGACCTGAGGGAGGAGTTTGCCCGGACAGCAAGTCGAACTTGCTCATGTTTCTGTGGGTGAGGGCTGAGCAGGGCTGGGTAGTGAAGATGGGGGCCACCCCTCCACCGAGGCTGTCGCAGTCAAACATCCCCCCCTCCAGGGAGCTGGCGCTGCCCAGACTGTGGGGCCTGTTGGGAGACGGGCCGCTCAGCCCCGGGGTCGAGCCGTGGTGGTGTAGGTAGTGGTCTTGGTACAAATTGCTGTCTTTGAGGTGGATGTTGCCAAACGTCCTCTCCACCTCGCTGATGTAGTCGCTGAACATGTTGTCGTCCGGCAGGTAGGGAGGTTTGCAGTCGGAGTGGCCCGCCAAGCTGCGCCGGTGCTCAGAGATGTCGTAGACGGAGGACTCGCGGCGGATGAAGTCCAGAGCGCTGTGCGGGGATCCGTTCACCCCCGACAGGGAGGCCATGTTCTTGGCGGTGCGGAGGAGGCGCATTATGTTGGAATGTGTGTTGTTCATGGTGCCCGACGGGGAGTTCAATGCCGAGCTGCTCTTCTCCTCAATCTGCACCCCGTGTATACAGCTGTAGATGCCCTGTGAGAGACAAAGAAGACATGTTCACATCAGTCAAAATGCTTTTCGAGAGAACTTTGACCTGTTTTGAGACTGGCTGTGGACAGAGACTTTGTAACCCAAGATGGCATCTGGAAAAAAAACTCTTTAACATGTTATTCTAAAAAGAAAAAAATCTACAAAAAGAAAAAATTGGGAGGATTCCACAGCTTTTAATGTGGCTAGATCCAGTCAACCTAACACAAACCTCTTCTTCTTAAATCCATTTAAGGTCTTGGTGGAATGTAAATCGAATGTATTAAAAGAGTTGGGGGAAAAACAAATGGCAATAATTCATTTCTACATAGACCTACAATTATTTCAGTAATTTTTAAATGAGTTTTTAAGGACAAAAAGTATTTTGTTTACCTACACTGACTTGGACCACAGAGAAAACACGGGTCAACACTTTTCTTGAATGCATTAACACACATTGTGGGTAAAAGACTGTAAGTCGACACAGAAATCTAAGTGTTGTTGAAATGAAAGTGGAAAACTCAGATTGTTAGATAATGGCAGTGGGGAAATAGACTAATAATAATAAAAATAAAGATGAATCATTTCTTAACATTCACAGAAAAATTGGTGATCACTTAGATCTTATTTGCTTTACATACAATTCAAGCTGCACAGCAAGATTTCTTTAAAGCAGAAAGGGCAGAAAATTGGTGCCTTGTGTTGATATACCTTGCTTTTTAACGTGAGGGAAAAAAACAATGTACGAGTTATAGAGCAATGTAGTTTATAGGCACTAACTAAAGTGAGCAAACAGTATGGAAGCTCAGAGAGAATATTGTGGCTTGACGGTGGATGATTGATACATGCAAAGGGGCTGTAAAAACCCCATTGAGACCCACTGGTCAATACCTTTAATCAATGTGATTAGAATTCAGCTGCACAATTTCCTCCGGCCGTTATTAAACGCCTCAGTTTCAAGAGCCCTCAGCGCCACCGGCTCCCACACAAATTTCTACTTTCGAGAGATGCCAGAGCAGGGAGGCTCTGGCCGAGCCGCGCAGTGACAGAAAAACGAACGGCTCCATTTGCATCCGGTGATGTACGATGCAGTATTCCGATAAAAATGAAGAAGAAAACCAGGCATGACATATGAGGACCGCGAAGGACCGGATCGATTCCAGACAATGATTTTGCCCGGCTTTTCCAGACGTCTGTAGATAGTTGTGGGAAATAAACGGGCTCTTCGGACACCGCTGAGGCCGGTGGTCGAAGATCTGCTGACCAGCTCGCAAGGCCATGGATCAGGAGTCACATGGCTGTCAGATCTTTGCTACTCTCCACCTCTTTGTTTTATCCACAAACACATGTAGTTAACCCTCTGCTCTTTCCCTGGTCTCTTCTTTCTTGTAATTAATTAGAAGGTGCCTGCTGCACTGCAGCACGAAGGCTTCATTTCTCACACTGCTTCCATATATAATGTTATTAGTTCTTTTAATTTCACAGTGTATTAACAGCTAACTATGTAAGGCTTGGAAATGGATGGAAGTAGAGGTGGGAATAAATACAAAATGACAACAATACTCAGGGAGGCCACATGTTCTTAGGCCCAGGTCAATGACGCTTACAAGGCTTTTCCACTTTGAAGTATTCCTGAATTTTTATTTGCTCTTTCTCATCTCATCTTTTTTTCCTCTAGTGTTTCTACTTCTGATTAGGCTTGTTGACAAAGCTGTCCCATCGTGCCTCCCAGGGCACTAATGACAGTCATTATATTTCCCAGAAAAATGTAATTAATCCAAGGATGTCCTTACACCTCCAGCTTCTGACGCTAAAGGATGGAGGGCAGTAACAGTACACGTAGCAGCACATAGCTGGATACTGGGCTAAAGTTGTGCATGTGTACAATATGAATGCAAACAAACCTAACAATGATGTATTGAGAGAGTTGTTAGACAAGGTTTCAGATCAAGCCAGAAATTATAAAAAAGAAAAAGAAAAGAGAAGCAGCTGCAGCCAGAGTGACTAAATGAAAGTAAACGAGAGGGAGATGATGTAACGCTTTGTACGACAGATTGCAAAAAGATGACAAAACAAACAGTCCCTTCCAATGTTGCTGTTTCAGAATCCCCGTGTTGGCTGCCATATGCAAATGACCCCTCTCGATGAGTGTTTCCCCAGCCGCTTTTATCATTAGGAATCATCTGTCTCTGACTGTGGACACCCAGCGTTCATTTATTTTGTCATATTACAGCAAAGGCAGACATAATTTCTGTAAATGAGGGCAATTGCTGAATGGTACACCGAGCTTAATTGGTCTCGGATCCAGTCCTCGTGCAAATTATTATGTTGCAGTCAAAGAGCGCCAAGCAGCCTGTCTTTGGTAATGAGACGTCAGCTGACATTTTAGCAACAAGTATAAACAGACACGGTCACACGCAGAGACTCGAACAACATAACATTAACACTATCCAAGATAATAATAATAAAGCCGGGCACCCGAGCGTGATCACGGAGCAGAGATTTTTTTAAAATGTTATTTATCTGTTTCTGCATAGCTTAGCTTGTTTGGCATGAGCAAGCTCTAGAAAGGCGGGAGCCCGTCAAACGGAGGGGGAGTGCTCCTCCACTGTAAATTAGCCACGTGGTGCAGCCTGCAGCGGTTCAACCTTCAGAGGCGTGGAGTGAATTACACCACAGCCACGTCAAAACAATTGGAATGCAAATCAAACACCTTCAGGTGACTTTGGTCTCCCGGGGCCCGGTAATCTACCCCTTCTGTGGCAGATTTTTTGTGCTTTTGTTGTTGAGTGAAATATTGATTTCGGCTCACTATTTTAGCGAATGTTTACCTCAGAGGCACGAGCAAGGCCTCAGTGTCAAAACAAAAGGAGTAAGCTCATTTATCCTTCGGCAGGGAGGGTTCAGAAACCAGGATACATGTTTACTGTGGCTATGGAATAAAATCCTCAAAGGGAAAAGCACATTCATTTAAAGGAGATATCAGGGACAGTAAAGCTAAAGAAGAATAAATTAGCATGAATTGAATTTGACTTAAGAGATAAGGGTTTTTGGTAATGTAGTTCCAAAGGATTGGAGTGAGGAATGCATTTCCTGCCCTTTTAGTGGTTTTGCTGTCAGAAGGGTTTAGTCATCACAAAATGGCAAAACAAGAAAATAAGTTCTTCATTCACCACTATATTATTTTAGGTAGCTCACTCTCTAAGGATTTTAAACAAGTAATACCAGCTTTCCAGATGCTCTTTTTCCTGGGAGGTAAAGATGGCGGACATTATAGAGGATTATGGTACGTGCAAGCAGTTTGAAATGTAATCTCAAATAAGCGTGCTCTGCCTAAAAAAAACTGATTTTATTGCCGCCTTCAACTCTTTCTGTATTTTACGGTGCGGCCGTAAATTAAACAGGACGCCATATTTATGATTTAGCAGTTCGTTCTGACCTCGTCAGCAAGGTAAGATTACAAGTCCCGGCGCTGTGTTTATTTTATGGTCATTTGATTACAGAGCCCCTTTTCCCCAGCCTCCTCTCACCCTGCTGATTGAGAAGACGAAGCCCGGCTGTCCGGAGCAGACGCCCATGAAGCAGAAGCGCAGCTGCCAGTAGAACCAGTGCTCGCAGATGAAGGTGATGAGAGACAGAGCCATGGCGGCGCCCAGCATGTAGAACACCCCCGCCATGTTGTCCACGTCCAGCTGGCTGGACATCACCTCGTTCTTCTCGTGGTGGCAGATCCCCGTCAGCCACAGGGATTCCAGCTCCTCCATCTCACCTAGAGGGGGAAGACGTGGAACGACATTGAGGAGTCGGGTGGGGCAAAATCGCAGGCGGGGCAAAAAGTCAGGGAGAGCGTGGAGGCAGAAACAGATGGTGTGAAGGCAGAAGGAGGTAGGGAGAGAGGGAGAGAAGGAAAAAAGACGCGTAGACTGACGGCAGCGGAAGATTTTGGGGCACAATGATGACAAGTGAAGAGGGGTTTTTGCTCAAGAAAGATTTCGGTTTAAGAAAAGGGGTGTGAAACCAAAAATAGAGGGGATGTGATGCAACAACAGGTCAGGCGTTGGAGGAGTGTTTGGATGGAGAGAGTGATGTAACAGAAGAAGAGATAAGAGAGGACAGGCGGAGAAAGAGGGGGGGTTGGGATGGTGTAAAAGTAAAATTCAGCTCAGAATCTTTAGAAAGCCTTCACAGCAGACCGAGAAAGCCAAACCCACACGCACACCTCTGGTCACTGTTCATATCAATCCTATTTGCACTTCTCCCTGCCGATAATTGCGTGCAGCTGTCTGCGGACGGCTCCTATGTTTGCGGCCCCTTTGTGGGTCACCTTCTGTTTCATCACAAGCTGTTCTCTATCAAAGCAGACAGCGGCTCGACAGGTACCAGTTAATTAAGCATCCGTTCAGCCCGGGCCGCTCCGTGTCAGCACTCCTCCTGCACCGCGCATGGCCTGCATTACTGATGCGTGAGGCTGGAGTCTCTCATTGCGACAATTTGTTCGAGGTCCGAGGGGCCGTTTTGCTGATATTGATCTTTTCTAAGAGGGAAGAGCTTCAAACTGTCTGAGCTTCAATATTGTCCCTTTTGGGATTGGTCCAGAAAAATTAAATATAGTAAAAAAAATAAATAAAGAGAAAAAATAAATTCACCATTATTCAAGGACCGAGAATATTAGAGGTTTAGGGACAATGAAACAAACAGGTTGCTCTGGGATTTAGGTCCAACCCATTCCATTCCATACCATGGCCATACCCCTTGCCCCGAGCACTTGTTGTGCTCTTTAATAAATAAAAGTGGACTGGAAAAATGTAAAGGCTTTCTCTGAGCTGCAGCTGAATATGAGCCAGCCTTGAGTAGAAATAGCGCCATTCAATTTTGCCCTTGTAACAGAAGTAGAGGGGTGTTGATAATCACATTTTCTCATCCTGAGACTGAAGATGTCTGGTGAATTGCATATTCCTGATGTCATACTGTACACCTGGTCATTTTCTACAATTAGTGATCAGTCTGTCTCTCTCATGAGCGATAAAATGCTTTCTCCACTTAAAACTGTTCCTAAAACCTATTCCTTTATCTTGCATATGGTATTGTCCTGGGGGTAATAAGGAGATAAGCAATAAATATCGGACACTGAAACTGCAAATGAGATATAGGCGACTCAGTAATGTTACGACAGCTAGACTTGTGTTTCCTGTGCTCCTTCCCCTGTTCACTCCTCACCAAAAACTAGGCCTTCAATCCTTGATGCACTTCAAGTAATATAATAAGTTTAAAGATTTACATTTCAAGAGGAAAGAAGCCTCTGCGATATTGCAACAAGTCTTTCACTGACTCTGAGTGAAAAAGACCATCAGGCTCAGCTGACTGGAGAACTTTTAACTAAACGGAGAATCAGAGAAATTGTCATGAATATTGCAGTTACATTTTCAGGGCAGCTCTGATATATTTTTTGCCCAGACCTGCGTCAAACTGCACACACTCCCTTCCAACCTTCATGCTGATCTACTGGGCTCTCTGCGTGAGCCCCGTTGGTTTCTAGGCCAGCAGGAGTGGAGTGGATGGCGAGGCGTGGCAAAGTGACTTTGAAATCCTGAGAGGGGTGAGACACGGGCGCTCGCTTCCTGTATTAATGCCGTTGCTGTGGCACTGGAGGGGGGGGGGATGTTACTGCATGCCGACCCACATTCATGTGCAAAAAAAGTTGGTAAAATGATCTATTTAGTAAAAAACACATCAAACTGATCGATGGGTGGAAAACAATTCAGATTGAAACCCTGTAAACTGGATTTTATGTAGGCTGATAAAAATAAACGTGTCAGAGAGAGTCAGAAAGGCGACACAACTGGCTCTTTATCGCCGTAACACACAAAGACACACACCCTCTCTTACGCATACAGGCACTCTCATTTTCAGAGGGATGACCCATATTCACGTGTGCGCGCAAACACATGCGTGCGCGGTGTCGAAATACGCCAGGAGCTATACTGGCACCCCTAACTGGGACACACTATAGTGGGCCCCCGGAGGGCCCTTTGGTTCAGGGACGCTCACAACATGCTGGGCCTTGTCCAGAGAAAGCTAGTTCCTGTGCAGCACACACACACACACACACGTGAACCGCCTCGATCACCAAATTTCCATTTTCTATCCTGGCAGCCAATGGAGGCTAACAATAGCAAGCAGCCATTGCTAACAGTTTGACCCGTTTAAGATGACACGTTGTTGTTTGAAATCCATAAATTATGCCGTTCAATTGTAATTCACACAGGCTGAGGAAGGACTTGTGGAAGACATTTTATTTAACTTCTCCAGATCCAAATGACTGCTCTAGGGAGAGTTGGAATGAAGTGACTTTCAAAAGCTTGAACCCTGGAGACTTTGAACACTTTCCCATAAAAGCCAAGTCTGATCATAAAGCAGTGGGTCCCCAATGTGAAGCTAAATCTCAGTTTGGGTTCCTAATGGCTGCATCTTATCTGCTCTTGTCAGTATTTGATGTAGTGCATGTGCTAGTGGAATAATTGTGTGTAACACTTGCGAGCCAAATTAAACACACATTTTCTTGATCTTTTCATGTACAGTAAGAAATGTAGGTGAGACCAGGAGTCTTAGCGTGTGAGTAACCTTTTCTTTATCCTCCAGCTGTTGGATTAGCCACTTATAGGGAGCTAATTATTTTTTTTAAACAGCAAAAATCTGGAGCAAAATCCACCTAAAGTCTTTCAAAAAAGGGAAATAAGGAAAAGGTCAACGCTCCACCTCATTAGCCAAACATAGAGATGCATCTGTAAAGGTCTGAGCATCAAAGCCTGCGTGGCTGCCAGTGGAACTGACACACTGACATTTGTTGATCCGCTGCTGATTGGAGCAACGACACAAACGCAGACAACTGAGGGGGAACATACGCTCAGTTTAAGCCCAATGCATATAACCATAACCGGGCACAAAAAAAGGCCTGAATTTGCAGACAAAAGACCCTAGAAGCTTTTCTGAATGAAAAAGTGAAATATTCTTTATGGGCTGGAGTAAAAGCTGTGTTTGACACAATTTAACAACGTTTGAAGACATAAGACTTGAAGCTCTCATTAGTAGCACTTTTGTTTTGTTTTTCACAAAAAAGTACACTAAAAAAGAACCATAATTTCTTTTAGCGTGTCTATTCAGTTTCGGTTCGCATTTATAAGGCTGTAAATCTTCTACAGTTAAACATCTAAAATTAAATGCGCAGAGATGCAAAGGTTGTGTGTCTATATTAGATCTGAGGCCTGGGAAAGAATCACAGCCATCCCTACACATCCCTCCAGCAAGGCCTGAGGCCCTTCATCTAATAATGATGACTAAATCAAGAGCCTTGAACTAGTTCTTAAAGGATTATAATGGATTATTATAAATGAGTTCTTATTTCTAAAGGTGTGGCTATTGTGTCTGTTGGGGACAGTAATATTGCGTTCACAAAGTTAATTCAATTTCATATTTGAGAGCGAAGCAATAATTGCAAAGACCGAGCCGTAGAGCAGTCCCATTAAAAACAAATTTGCCTGCGATCCGTGTCCATCTGTCAGAGCACAGAATGACTTCCTGATTCAACTTGGACATTCTCTCTGACAATTGATGATCCACAGTTTCCCAGGCCCAGAATTATCACCAACTGTCTTTTATCTGCGTTGAAATTGAGATTTTCCTTAGAGAAAATCTTTTTTTAAAAACCCAACCAACTTCTATCATGTGGTAACTGGATTGTTACTTTTATATTATTTCTTTTCCTCTTTGGATTTTGTTTTACTCTGGCATTCTCACCACACCTCTGGCTGATTTCCTAGCCAGAGCAGCGTTATCATTACTGACATGTCATTAAAAGAGCGAAACCGGGGCTGAAATAACTTTGAGTCGTCCCCTCATATTTCCCACAAGGTCGAGGAGAAGCCGCGATCCCTCGCCTCGGCTGGTAAAATATCACCTTATCTCTGTTTCTATCTGACGCCCTCTTAAGTAATTAAAATCCTAATCGTGCCGTCACAGCTGCACGCATGACAGAGCTTCTGCTGGCTGAGTGCACCACGCTGTGCGGCGCGTGTGAATAAAACACAGCTGGAAGAAGCTCGGGGCCCTCACCATCTCCAAAAAGCTGCAGGATGGCCAGGTCCACGTGTCTCTTCCACAGCGACTCCTTCTGGATGGCGATGCCGTACCCCGTGGTGGCGAAGATGTAGCCGCTGCCAATGGTCACCAGTTTGCAGCCCTCGTCCCTGCCGGCCATGTAGTTCAGCACGGCCGCGTCATAGATGAAGGCGTCTAATTTGCTGAAGAAAAAGAGCGAGAGAGAGAGAGAGAGAGAGAGAGAGAGAGAGAAAAAGAGAAAGGGGGATAGACAGGTTACAATTAATTAGCACTTAGAAGTCAGACATCACAGCTACAACATTCCAATTAACCTGCTAAATAGCACTAAGCCGCTGATAAGGCTAATAGACTTCCACTTAGTTTGCCAAAGACTGGAGCTGGCATCCGGAATGGTGAAAAAGAACGGCTGATGAAAACTGAAGAGGGGGAGTAAAAGTATCATTGGGGTTATTCAGCTGCAATATGCTTATATTAAGAGAGACATAAACAACGCATGGCTTCGTATTTTCAGAATCCCTGTTTTGGGCTGCTCTTGACTCCTTTTTGCATTTATATTTGATTGTTTTCATATACTAGATATAATAGAACTGCGTCAACACATATTAAGCAAAGACATAACACCTTGACAGATATATCACTTTCAATATCGCTCTCACAACTGGTGGAGTTTGAAATGTTAACTTTTTATTCAGGTGGTCCCACAGAAGCCCACAAAATGAGCCCGGCTCATAAGCATTGCATTAGGTTGTGCAGTGCATGGTGTTAAACGCCATGCTGCTGCCATATAAAACTTCCCTTCCACTAACTTGGTTACCGAGGTAATGTTGACACGTGTGCTCCTGTGAAAAGACTGATCACATTTTCACTTTTATTAGCGGGAAGAGAAAGAATCTAATTCTCTGTCTTCAGTAACATCTAACTGATCGAGCCATTCCTTTTCCTAAGCCTCACTTTTTTTCCTTTCTTTTGGGCCAGAACCTAACCAAACAGCAAAAGAAAAAGGAAAAAAAAGAAGAAAAGAAACCATAGCAGAGTAGCAGAATAAGCAGAAGGACTCTACCGCAGCTTCGTGTTAGTGAATCTTAGTCTTGAGTCTTGAGTTCTGTCCTGCTTCCACCGTTTCCCTGATATTTTTGAGAGGGGATGTTTTTTTAGGTCTTTTACCACTTTAATGATAGTGTACGTGTCCTGTACAAAATAAAAAAGCATTTCACTGATGCCAGAATCCAGCATGGAATGTTCACATCACTCTGGTGTAAAAAAAGCCTTTCCCTTGCTTATGAGAGGCCCTGTATGCCAAGCCAACAATTATCAAATTATGCGCCACAGCAGTGCTGCTGATTATCTGTTTCTCTTATATGTTTGGTGTGTGCCTCCCACCTACACCAGTGTCAGACCCCTATACATGTTTTTTTTCTTTTTCAGAAAATTCATAATAAGGAATAGTTTTCATGTCGGGTGCTGTGAGAACTTCCTCTGAATGAGGAACAAGTGATAAGCATGAGTTCGGAGAGATCAGCAAGCAGGGACATTCTTGAATAGTACAAATCTGTACTGTATTTCCAGTGTTTTATTATTTTTCTTAGTTCTTTGTTGTCCTCCTTCATGTATAATGTACACCGTGGTGCTCCCTTTTGGATGCGAAAGCTTTGTCTTTACATGCCAGAGCAGATTTTACATCCAGATGTCTCTTCGTGAGTTGAAGTCCCCCCTTTAGCTGAAAAGCCTACAGCACCTCATCGCCGCGGGTTATTCACTTCTATCCGGCTTATAGCTGCCCTAAACTACACTAATTCATAGTGAAGGTGCTCACCCAGCTTTCAGACTCTGCAAAGCTTCGTTGACGTTTCGCTGATGGAACTTTGTCATGTAGGAGTGCATTTCTGGGTAGTTGTTCCTAATATTTCTCTCAGTGCTTCCGTTGGGAACCGTGCCAAAACGAAATGGAGGGGAAAAGTCATTGGGACTCTGGAACTGAACGCAGAAAAAAAGAATGAACATAAAACAGAGGCATGAAAAACAATTAGCATCTAGTTTAAAGCGCAAGGACAGCAGAAGACAGTCATCTATACATAAAAACTATATTAAACCTCACCTTTTTGTCTGAGAGGCCAGATACCTGATCCACATATTCCTCCTGGATCATAAAGGCAGCCAGGTTGGCAGTGTAGGAGGCCAGGAAAATGACAGCGAAGAAGGCCCAGACTGACACCATAATTTTACTGGTGGTGCCTTTGGGGTTCTGTACTGGTACAGAATTGTTGAAGACCAGACCCCACAACAGCCAGATGGCTTTACCAATGGTGAAAGATGGACCATGTGGCTCTGAAAGATGTACAGAGAGAGAATGTTATGTGCTTCCTTATATTTTTCTTCTTTTGATTGTTTCCGTTTTGAACCAGCATTTAGAACACACACGATTACACAATGGACCCTTTGTGGAATTGATGCATATATATTGTTGTTTGTTTGGGATTGTGTTGGTTTAGTTCATCCACAGGACGTCTTTGTGATGTGATGAGCAGTGTGTTCATAATGCTTGTGTGGGTATGTGTGAGGGGGGTGCACAGTAACGTGGGTGTCTATTGTTGAATGGTGCTTTTGTAATAGAAAAACGGACTTCATTGTGCAAAAATACTTCTTTGGGAAGTTTAAGTGCATTAGCCTGTGCTGCCAGTCAAATGAACCGGGCAGCCATTTAAAAGTCATGGTCAGGTCACTGCATTAAATCCTTTAACTCCAAACAACCTGCTCTTCTCGTGATACCAAAGTTCCACTATGCTCCAAAGGATTTTTTTTTTTTAAAGAAACAGGGCGGCGCACAGAAGAGAACAATGCTTCTCCAGAAAATGATGAAGGAACGACAGATAAACACAGTCTATATATAGACACATCAGAGAAAGAGCTGTGAGATTGATTTTTCTCTTTTTTCCCCTCTTTGGCTGGGGAGATTTAAAACAAAACTAGCCCCTTCCTGTCAGAGCTAACGTGCTTTTGAAAAATATGGAAATGAATGCAAATCACTTGTGCAGTATGCAGAAAGCAGGACAAGTGGTTTGCTGGTAAGCTACACACCGATACGGCTCCGTAAGATAAAACGATGCAGGGTAGTAAGGAGGAGGAAGAGGAGAGGGCGATGGGAATAAAGGCATTGGGTCAGCAAGGATGGCTGGTGTATGTGTGGAGGCGGACGGCGGGATTCGTGTGTCCGTGTCAGTTTCGGAGCACGGCAAAAAGCAGCTTGTGTACAACAGAGACTGCCTATATATTTACAGGGAGGAAGCATCATCTGCCAGGCATCTGCGCTCACACTTGACTGCTCGGAGAAAAAGACTAGATGGAGCATCGCTCCTTGTTTGATGAAGCAAGTTACCTGACGTCAAGCTCTCTGCATAAATCTGAAGCCTCATTTGTAGACTTCAGGGGCAAAGATTCTTTTTATCTGATTCTCGTTCCTCTGAAAATGCTGACGTTGATGGACGGATAGAAGCTTGGATTTTTTTTTTTTTCTTTTCGATTCATTTACTGTCTATTCTAAAATGAGAGTAATGCGTCTCACAAATACAACAACTATTATTATTCATCCAAAAAATCCTATTGACTACAGTGATTTAAACAGATAACTTAACAGGACAAACAAGCACATTCTAGTTCTGGAGGTTTTTTCGTTTCTAAAACTAAAACGTTAACAAGACCTAAAAGTGATCATTTCTTTAATAAATAACTCTTAATGCTGGAAAACATGTGACATGTGAATAATTATTGCAGCTATTGGCTGTATGTAGCTACTGAAGTCCATTTACTTGCGTCATAAATTCAAAATCATCAAACATAGAAGGCCAAAATAAAAAATTGAAAATTACCTTGTCCAACAAGGTCAGAGAGACATTTGAAAAAAATATCATCACTCCTCAGAAAAACTAGCAACTTGCATCATAATTCAACATTTTCAACAGCTGGATAAGCATAATTGTGAAAACAGAAAATAAACTAGAGGCAATTCTGCAAACTCACCATGACCACTTCTGTGAATTTGACATGTTCTGACAACACTGTAAAATGGGTCACTTATATGAGTGTGTTTTTTTCTTTTCTTTAAACAAAAACGACGAAAACCAACTCAGACCTTATAAGGTGGAAGAGATTTTACAGTGTGTTACAAAATGACCAGAAATAAACAGTCCCACATGAAGCAATTTGTTGTGGATTCCAAGTTGCAAAAACAATAAATTATCCATATTTTCCCACAATGTCGTCCAGTCAAAACACCAAGTTTTGCCAATATTTTGGTTTTATGGGGAACTACTGTGGAAGTTTAGCTGTGAATGAGGAATGATCCACGTGCTGAATTCATGCTAAGCTTGTATTCCCTCCTGGAATATTTGGATCAAACTGAGCAGCGGGGTTTGAAGGCAAAATGTCCAGAATCCTTGGCTAGAAAGTGACTGCATTTATTTACATTTATATTTGGAAACAGGTCACCCCCCAGCAGGCTGCACGCCTGCATATGTGGGCATGTCTGCGAGGGTTTTTTGTACTCTTACCTCTGCCGTCAGCTAGACAGCGGTTGTAGCCCACAGGGCTGAAGTACTCGAATATAAACACAGCTATTGCTGACACCAGCAGCAGCATCACGAACATCATCACCCACACATCAGCACTGAAGGGCTCTGGAGGGTGAAGGGGGGATGATAGGGGATGGAGAGATGAAGAGATGAAGAGGTACAGGGAAGATGTGGGGTTGGGAGGGAGAGAGGGAGTCCGGACAGACAGATAAGAAAAGGAGAGTAAGGATGGAGAGGGTGGAGAAGAGACAAGGGACGTGAGGAGGGAGTGAGGGCATCAGAGAGAAAGAGAGAGCCAAAGTGAGAGATATATGCAAATGTCGTACGGCAGATTGAGAAGAGGAAGGAAGCATCAGTGGAATGGTGTAGGAGTGGAGCATGTGAGAGGGCAAAAAGACAGGGAGCAAAAGGCAGAGAAAAAAACCCAGTGAGCCATTTAATCCTAAACACCAGCTAACTGCTAACAGCACAAATGCGCAAAAACTTATCAGGACTGGGTAAATAAATAAAGAAGGACAACATTTTTTTAACCAAAGCTAAAGACATATTCCCTTTCTTTGAGCCAACCAAAACTCAGACAAGTAATATAAGTACATTTTGCAACTTTGAAAGCACAGAAATGTTAAAGTAAAACAGGAGTGACTGAGAACACGACGACAGAAGTTGATGTTTTTTCGTCCAAAAATGGTATCACACACACGTGCACATGTCTTTATATCGAATTGTCATTGTAGCAACAGTTAGCCTTCATACGCAGTGTATGATCCAAATGTGTCCCCCAATCTCCTCCCTTAGTGCCACAGCTTTATTGTTCCTCTAGGTTTTGACGGCTGGTTTGTGCATTCCTTACCTAGGAAGGCTGAAGGGGAAACGGTGCCATTACTGCGGGAGACCATGACGCTAATTCCTGTCTCGATGAAGGGGACGGAGAAATCAATTACTTCTGACCTCTCCTCGTTGATGGTCAAGGATCCGACAGCCATGTGGGCATTTTTGAGCACCACCTACATGTGAGGTGAAAAACAAAGAGAAAAGGCATCCGTTACCCAGCTGTTGGCCTCACGTTCACATTTAATCCCAAACGACCATTTAAAAGGACGTCTGGACGAAAGCTCCGGTTTCTTCTTGAGGAAAAAGTTACAAAAACAAGCCAAATTGAATCAAAATGGTTAAGAATAGATTGGACTCAAATGACGGTGTAAAAATAGCACAAACATCAGTTCAGCTGAAGAAGGTTATGGAACCTTTTCAAGTGGAACACAAAAGAATTTTGTTGGGAAATTTCACAGGAACAGAAAGAAAGCAAGTGCACGCTGACAAGAGACCTGAATTTTCTAAAGGTCAAAGCACAGAGGAGCTACCACTCCTGACTTTTTTTATGTTCCCTCTTATTCTTCCACGTTTTGCTGCAATCTGATGGAGCAGAAGTATTCGGAATTATCGTGTGCATCTAGAATCTTAGAGTTTACATTCAAAAGGGCCTTGTGGAGCTATCACATTCATTCATTTTATCCCATGTGAAAAGCACAGAGGAGATTAAACACTCTCTGTTAGCTTTTAAATTGTATTAAGGAGATTAAGTACAGAAAGTAGACTTTTTAGAATTGATTTATTCATTTTTTAAAGCGGACAGAGAAATGAAAGAGAGGGAAGGATGGAGCGCAGCAAGCAGAGACGAGCGGCCAACACACTTTCCACACACATCTCTCGGAGTGGACACTCGTGATGTTCACCAGGGGACGGAAAGAGGGGGAAAGACAGAAGGAGGGAGGAAGAAAGTGGGTTACCACAGTGGGTCACGCTTGCTTGAAATAGCCAGCCCAATGCCTTCCTCTACCTGCCTCCCTCCCTCCCCTCAGAACCTCCACGCAGGTAGTATATTTAGTCCCAAATTTTGGAGCCTTTCAGCACGGGGGTAAAGTGGGACAACATTGTCCCTGTGACTTGATCAGGCGTGTGAGTCAGAACCCCGCTTTGTGCGTTCGTTGCTGGAGTTTGTGAGCGAGCAAATACGGTTGAGTCATAAAGGGAAACAGGACAGATAGGAAGAGAAGTGATCAAACCTTTGTTCCCCGCCGGTGGAGTGGACCCTTACAGGCGGGGGGAGCGTTACACATCTGCTTTTGCGCGTCGCCCGCAAGTGTCTGCCTGCAAGTGATTGTATGCATCTGTGCATTTAAAACTTTTTAATCATATCTGTTCTGTCGGTATATAAGTATAGTTGTGCATTTTCTATCGTATGTGTGTGTGTGTGAAATGTGCCAACATGTCCCTGGGGAAGAGAACGAGTGCATCCAGCAGTGCACTCACTTCCCCTCTCTCCATGCGCTCTCTCCATCTCCCTCCTACGACTTGTTCTTTCCGTGTTATGAAAGTGACCCATGTGGGTGTTATTGAGAATGATTGAGCGAGAATCTGCGTTTCTGTGCGTGTGCGTGTGTGTGTTTTTGAATCTTGGCTGGTGTATGCGTGTGCCAGTGTATTTATGTGATTCTCCTAGCGATGCTAAAGTCGTGTAATCAAGCGCATAGCTTCTGGTATTCTAAATTGGAAATGTTCGGTGCCGGGCAAGTCAATGAAACCTGTCAAATGGGCCCCAGACTGCCGGAATCCACTCAGGACACTTAGTGAGGCCTTAGTCTGAGCATTCAGTCAATTTATTTGTTGCGTTTTTGATAGTTTTCCTGTTCTAAAAGAAATGTAGCTCATTGTGTAAAAGCACTCCGTGATCTCTGTGAGCATTGACTGTGTCTCTGCCAGCCTGGACATCAGCCCAATAACAGCTTGAGATAAAGTGTAGCTTTGGCAGCGTTCCAGCCGGAGAAGGACACGGGTCAGCTTCGATAGGTTTGTCAAAACTAGACCTCGACCATATATAAATGTGAGGACGCTTTTCCGCGCGCGGGCACGCGTGTGTTCTCCCGTTTCTGTGATCCTTCAGGCTGAAACGTCCCGTGTCCGCATGTGTCTGCGTATGCCAGCCGGGCAGATGAATGCGGCCCTTCCTTCTGCTAATCACCGTCCGTCGGCGGAGGTGAGAAGGACAATGGGCATTACCGCGCTTTTAGCCAGGATGATGGAGTTCATTACTGGTGGCCACATTCACGGCTCGAAGCCTACTAAAGATGCTGGTGGGAGGGCTATAATAGCTTAATGCAAGAAATGAAATGGGTCAGGGTAATGTGAATTGAGCAGCAAATGTGTCATCGAGGGGGGATATAAAAAAAAAAAACAGACCAGTGATTTTGTATGGGAGTTCTGAAGGTTGTTCGTGTCAATCGTGAAAGTGTTCAGAAAAAGAGGATCTCAGCATGTTTCCACCTCGGGACCTTCGGGGCGCTATTGATCCGTTTGTCATTTCCCTCATTAAGAAATAGACTAAATCAGTCTGCAGATGCATCGCTGACTCTTACAGATTGAAGGGCTCGAACTGACCCATCTGGCTCTCAGGCTTTCGGAAGAAAAATGACAGACTGTGAAGAAATTGCTGATAATATTGCATGGCAACAATCTTTAAAGAGAGAAAAAGGTGTGTAGGCAGGACCTTTGCACACTGGCTCCCTTCATTTGCACAGTTCATTTGGCTAGAGCGTTTGGATAAAGACTTTTCATCACCAGAATTTTGGCAGAAATTCCAACGCCTTAATGTTGAAATGATTATCTAAACTTGAGCTTTCAGATGGAGGTTTAAAGTATCAAACAAACCATTAAGTACTTCACAAATCAATCGTATCAATAATGTGCTTTGTACTGAGCACTTTTTTTCCCACAAGATTTGTTTCTGATCCTACTGAGCAGTTGATTTGATGTGATCTTTTAGCATTTCACAAGAATCCAGCAGTCTGAAAGTTGAACATCCACCCGAGGAAAGTTGAACCACGTCAGGACTGCTGTTAAAAGTATGTTTCTCCACCTTGTACGGAGATTATTCATGCTTTCGTTTTCTACCATCCCTCTACTTGTACTGTATTCCAAAAGAAAATTAGGTCACCTCACAAACGGCAATGCAATGACAAAAAAAGAAAAGAAGCGAAACTCAAAATGTTTAAATCCCTCACAATTTTAAAACCCTGGTTTGCACTACACAAGGTCAGAAAAGAAAAAACAGACAGCGGCATCTGCTGTGATTTGTTATGTCTGTAATTATTTGTGGACCAAAAATGTATTCTGCAGCAATGCCAACGTCCCTGAGCACCAACGCTTGTTTAGTGTTGGAACATTTCACTGTTCTGAATTCAAATATTTCGCAGTTGTTCCCCTGACACGGCGCCAAATATGCCGGCGCCTTCCTGCGGTGCATGCAGACGAACGGGTCCACCCCAATCCTTAGCACCGCGTGCCTCTCACAAACAGGTCGCGTCGCTAATGGTGTCGCCGGGTGTGAATTAGGTTCAGTTCCCCCGTTTGCCAGCTTTGTCAACAAAGTTACAGGCCAGACCGTCGTACAATTTACACATGCGTGACTTTGAACGACACCGGGAGGCTTCTATTTGTTGAAATCTGGCGATGGCTAAACATTGTCGGCGGGGAAAACATGCAGAACGGGCGGCAGACCCAGATGACCGACAGAGAGGGTGGCAAACACAGGCATCCAAACACAAAAGACGCATCGTCCTCTCACCTCTCCCACCATGCCGTTCCAGGATCCATTGATTTTCTTGCCATGTTTTCCATTAGTGACCAGATAGAGGTCGTACGTAAATTTGACTGACTTGGCAATCTTCTTCAGGATGTCGATGCAGAAGCCTTTACAGCAGCGCTTGATGTAGATCCCTGAATCCTTGGTCTGATTACTGCATGGACAGGCAGATAAATAATTCATTGTTATAAAAATGTACATCTGTCTGAGCAAGTATTTACTGTTAATTGGAAAATGAGATTTGGTGAGCCCGGCGCTCTCATTCTCCAAACGATGGAGCGGGAAGTAATTCTGCCTCCGGCGCTGTAAAGCTGCCTTAAGAAAAGTTAAATCATTCACGGGCAAAATGTAGTCAGTTACCAGTTTTATTATTTCATGACTGCTTTGATCAGTTCCTTGGTGGGTGATGCTGTGAGCTACGAGGACAGATGGGCAAAACATTCTCCTGTTACGATCTCAACTGATGTGTGCCGAGTGAGTGTGTTGCTTTATCCTCACAGTGTTTTGATCTGTTTTCGACAGGGCACAGTGTTCCTCATGCAGGTCCCGCTAAGCGGATCGACGTCTTCCACGATGACAAACGGAGCCTCCTCCAATGTCACAATGGACAGGTGGTCGTCCTCCCTGTGTGCGGGCCCCCCGTAAAGCTCATAGCGAGGCCACACGTGGTACTTCATGGACAGGGACCCGTTCTCCCATTTACCCACCTGCGGAGACAGGCAGAAAAGCATTCAGCGTTCAGACCGGCTAAGAAAGCACACGCTACTTTTGTTTCCTCATTGTTTCCGTGCCATTCTTGATGCTTTTACCGCAGCTGGCTTCATCGCATCCACAGTGAATACTGCCTGTGTTCAGATATTGTGTGACTGAGACTGAATGCAACACAAAAACACAAAAAAAAACAAAGCATCACCTGTCAGGAATCTAAGTGAAAAATGACATCAGACTACATCTCACACAACAGTGGATTCAGTCTATGAAAAATAACTGCAGCTCTGCACTTGCAAACGGGTTTAAAACATCATCAGAGACCGTCTGCCTGGTAGGAAAAAGAATATAGTCTAACTTGGATATAAAAGCCCTGTTGTTTGGACTTAATTGTAAATCACGCATCTGTCAATAAGATCGCAGTGAGCTAAATTGGTGTTTTCTAATGGAAAGATTTGGAAAATAGACAAACTTGGTTCTGAAAATAAAAGGAGAATTGGGACCAAGAGACTAGAAAATAAGAACAAGGTTAGCCAGGAGGAGTGGAAAGACCAGAATTTAGATCATGAGGGGAGGAGAAACAATAATCTAAAGTTACACAGGGACAGAGAAAAAAAGAATAGAGGGCTAAAACGATGAGAGACACGAAAATCTAGTTCTGCATAGAAAAGGGGAGAATTTAAAATTGAGAGAAACAGTCAAGTAAGTACTTGTGTAGATAGAAGATAAAAGGCTGAAGACTGAGCTCATTTAAAACCCAAACATGGGCTCTTCTTTAGAAGAGTGTCCAGCTGTATGTTTGGAGGGCTCTCCAGGCCGTGTAGCCCTCTTCAGCTCAACAAGCGTCACCAATTAGTCAATTTTCCTCCGATGCATCACACGTAGCCATACCTCGAGATGCTGCGTGTGCCCTTTCTTCTAGAAGTACCAGGTTCATCAAGGTAAAGATGTGGGTGGAAGTGGAAGTGGATGATTGCGTAACTGGACACAGTTTCATAGGGGGATAGAATAAGACAAGGAGCTGTGTTGTGAGTATGAAAAGTCAGGTTTGCACCCTCATTAAATATGTAAATGTGTTCAAACACACTCCGGCACTCCGGGGAGCTCAAACTTGGACACACTGAGGCTGTGTATCCCCAGGGCGCGAGGCAACCTTTTTCCATTCTGACAAAAAAGCGGCGAGCGGGAGTAAGCGATAAGAGAAACACAGATGGAAACAGAGAGAGGAGATGGAGGGGAGGGGTTATAATCAGCCAGAGGGGGGGAAGAACGGAGCTGGACGCTACCAGGGTCTTTACACTGCTTCAAAGGTGTTGCATGGTTGTAGAAGCCTGAACTCATTAGAAGCCAAGAAAAGCGATTCAGCTGGAAGTCAAGCTCAGAATTAAACATGAGCAAAAGAGAGGAAGGAGAGGGTGGAGGAGGTTAGGAGGGCCATGACTGGAGAAAGGGGGAGAAAAGAGAGGTGGGGAGGCAACTCACCTTGTCCTCTGATCAGAGGACAGAATGTAGAATGTAGAACAGCAGAAAAAAGACAGAAATACGGAGAAGAAAGGATAGGGAGAGCGAGAGGAACAATGGAAGAGGAGCATCAGCAAACATAGAAGCTTGCTGGTGATTCGGGAGGTGTTGGAGGGCATCGGGTTTGTTTCAATATGTTGCTGCAAGAATGTGAGATTGACAGAAACGATATTACCAGCCATCTTCCTTTAAGACAAGTATTTCTGTTTCTATCCGTAATAGTGTACCATCAAATAACGCGATTTAGAAGCTGGATTAATTGAACTGCTCTTCGTTGTTCTCGTAGTAACAGGAAAGATTTTGAGAGAAAATATATTTTTTTCTTCTTTTTGAAAGCTTGCTAATACCACTTCCCTTTAATAACTGAACTTTTAACCCCCAGTTTAAAGGCCTCTGGCACAGTTTTGTGCTTCAGCTCTGCATATTTCCTTTGAAATGGATTTTTATAGTTTAAAACTAATCTCTGTAATTGACCTATTTTACCCTATGGTGTGGGGGTTAGCACCGTCGCCTCACAGCAAGATGGGGGGGGGGAACGGTTCAAGTCCCGGTCCCCCTGGATCTTTCCTGTGTTCTCTTTCTTTGGATACTCCCACCGTCCAAAAAACATGCATATTGGGTGAATTGGAGACTCCAAATTGACCCTAGGAGAGAATGTGGTTGTTCGTCTCTGTGTGTCTCTGCCTAGTTTGTGTCTGTGTGTCTCCTGCCCGTTGTCAACTGGGATAGGCTGTGACCCTGTTGGGAATGAGCGCTATAGAAAAATGGATGGATGGATGCTTTTCCTTGAGGGCGAGGTGAGGGCTGGAGCCGATCCCCCGAGACACCTTGGAAAGACTGTCGGTCGTTGGATTTATATGCACACCAGGTAATTCAAAATAAGCAATCTACTGAACATATGTGCCATTGTGCTGTGGGAGGAAAATGCAGTAGGTGGACACGATGCACACAGATACACAACAGCAGGCCAGTAGGTTCAAAGCCCAAAGGAACCAATGTGGTGAAACTGAACATCTGGGTGCATTAAAGGGTCATATGTTGATAGTTTAAAATTATTTTTTATTTACTTTTTTTTTTTTTAATCTGCAGATGGAAAGAAACCAAAATGAGTTTTGAGGTGTGGCACTTTAAATCTCACGGGAGTCAACATAAACTGAATGAATTGAAGCTTTTAGAGGCTTTTTTCCCCCAACACACCTCAACAGTAACGAGGTAAAATAATAAAAAAGAGTCACCATTTTTACAATGTTAATGTGAGTCATTGTTCTTTTCAGAAAAAAATAGGGGGGAGAAAAGCTACTGTGTGCTGAAAGGGAGGAACAATATGAGCGACGGTTGCGTTGCTTTGTGCACAGCAGACCTGCTGAGGTGTCAACATATACATGGCATTGATTTCAATAACTGAAATGTAGTTATGGTATGGAGGTTGACACTATGTGCCTCAGAAAAATAAAAACTGTCAGTTATCGGTGGCAAATGCTCAATCTTTAAAGGCTCAGCTCTGTATTAGGAATAGAAAAAAACTGAATTGGGACATTAGTAACCTGAATCTTTGAAAAGAGCCGCACAAAAGAGACAAAGAGACAAAACGACAAATTGTAATCCTGCACATTGAAAAGACTGTCGAGGACAGTGAGAAAAACATTGAAAATCCATTCAATTTTTTTTCCTGACATTATGCTATGAAAGTTACGAATTTCCAGTTTCAACGCTGGGAATAGTAGACTAAGAGCACCGTGCATATGGCAGAGCACATGCATATTTTATTTTTTGCAAAGCGTGTCTTTTTCTTCGACTACTGTATGCTAGAATAGGACCCTGGAGGCTTCCTTTTTCAAATCACACTCAGATTTAGCCTTAAATACTATCCTACTGACAGTGCTACGTTCGGAAAATAAGTTTAAACGTTTCCTGAAATTATACACTATCGTTCTCTGTCCAACGGCACGCTGAAGCCTTTGCTGAGCTGTAGTGCTCAAAGGCACCTTCCCTGAGTTGATAATATCTAATCAGAGAAGTGCTTATAAAGCTCGGGGCTTAAAATGCTTAAAAAGTGAAAATTAGATGATTAGAGATCCAGATAGAGACACAGACATATGGACTATACGGGGAAATGACTAACTCACTGACTCTTGCTTTACACGTGTTCTAAGAGTTTATCCTTTTTTTTCACTGTTGCCGTCAAAGAGAATGAGGTGTGGCTGTCAAATAAAAGCAAAAAAATAAGGCCCAGAAACATTCAAACTGGCACACGATTGACACTCTTTCTCGGCCTCACCCTGTCCCACTGTCTCTCTTTGTTGAGCAGAATAATGACAAGCTTCGGGTGCATCTGGTATCCATCCTCGCTGAACGACAGATTACGCCCCTCAAACGTCACATTCATCAGGTACCTAAGAAGGAAACAATGAGAGGAACACAGTGAGATTCTGATTCCCGCACTGAGTGGATCTCTTGCTAGAAAAAAAAAATCCTTGTCAGTGGAAACACATTTTATTTGCTGTACATATTCCCATCCATCCATGTAAATGTCTCAGTTTCCCAGAAATTAAGGTTTCAATAAATGCAATATAATTTCAACGCAGGTGTCTCCAAGCCGCATCTCCATAAAGAGATGAATGAATATTCATTACATTACTCATACCACAAGCATTTGAGCAGAGATGATGATTTCGGGCAGAAATGAGGAAAGTGGATTTCAGCAAACCCTTTGAACAGTCATCGTAAAAGCAAAAAGCACAAAAGAATGCCTTTCGACACAGTGTTTTGGACACTAACTGTGTTTTTTGGGTAAGAACTTTTAACAATCATCACACCACGACCTACTAGGCATTCCACCCAGGACACTCAGGATATCACAGGACTTTAGATAAGATTCATTTAAATGACCTTATGAAATCAGAATCAGAATCAGAATCAGAATCAGGTTTATTGCCAAGTAGGTTTTCAGACTTACAAGGAATTTGCCTTGGTGTTTAGTGCACAACACAACACTTCTATGAGAAGCAAGAATAAAAAGTAAAAATAAAGATATAGGGCAGAATGATAAAACTGAAAAATACAATCTTTAAAAGTATAACTCTGAATGTACAAATTAACAATCTTTAAAAATATAGATTTGAATGTGCAAATTAACAGTTGAAATGTGCAATGTTGATCTGCAACAACAGACCAGAAAATGCTGAAGCATTGGGTAAATTAGTGAGGTAGAGGGGGGGGGGGGAAGAATAGGTGGGGGTCGCTGGTCTTGTTGATGAGGCCAGTTGCTGTTGGATAAGAAGTACAAGCTACCTCAGTAAGCCAACTAGAAACATGGGGAAACATCTGGTGTACGTCTTTATAGTTGTAGCGCTTATGAAAACCAGGAAATAGAGCTTTACCCCTTTAAAAATCTGAACAAAAGTTTTTTTTTCATTTTACAAGCCTCTTTCTCTTTAAACTGATAGAGGTATCTGCATGAAGATGCACAAAGGCAAAAATTCAAAATAATAAATAATACGTCTCCAGCTTGTCTGTGAATAAGAACCGAACCATTTGAGCTGTTCAAACACCTCACTGACTGGAGCTTCTTGCCATGAACAGAAAGTGCATTTTAACCAGGAGCACACAAAGAAACGCAGACAAACAACGCCGACTGCCTTTGCGTGTGTGTGAGTGGAAGCCTTATTCTTTCTGCCAAGCGAAATAATTCCACCTTCCCTTGACTAAATGGCACACACACACACACACACACACCACTCGCAGCCTCTCAATGGCCTGTTCTCTCTCTGGGATTGTGGTTAACGTGCGTGGGAGCGCGCAAGTGTGTTTTATACAAAAAAAACAAACACAAAAAAACAGGAATATTTATGTTGGTAAAATCATCTCTGTTTCACACACACACATACCACAGCCTCTTAACTCTTTCAGTCCTCTCACTCTTCTCTCTCCCTGCCTCTCTGAGTGTTTCTATGGAAACAACCTCAAAGCCATGCCCACCACATACTGTATGCATAAATGAATGGCTGACGAAAGGAGGAGCATTTGAGTTACTTTCT